AAATAACTTACATAATATTATTTTATAATATTATATTATAGAATATATTATCTAATATTATTATTATGTATTATTAATATTATATTATATTGTATTGTCTAATATTAATATTCGCTATGATTTGAATTATATTTTTATTATAGAACCTTTATCGGATCTTCGCGCAAAATAACAAATTATTGTAATATTATCAATATTATTAATTATTGTAAATAACAGTTGCAGCAAGCACGAGTCAAATAGAAATTTCTTTGTTCCATTAGATAATTTCAGTGAGTTGTAAAGATTATAAAATGATATAATATAAAAATAAAATAATATAAAACAATATCTTATTATTACCCTTATTTAATATTTTTATTGTCTCCTGGACAAGATAAAAGCAAAAGACTGTTACTGAAAACTGTGAAAAAAAATCATCGAATAAATTAAACCAACAAAGAACAGCGTTATTGTCGCACGTGGCAGGAGAACAAAGAAAAAAACGCGTATGTTTCCATTCGACGGCTGGCATTTAATCGATATCGCGAAACGAGTATGGGATACCGGTCGCGAGATATGACATTTCGTTGAAATCGTAATTATTTATAACGACGCCGGCAGAGTAGTGCGGCCCGTTCGGTGGAAATGTGAACAACCGTGTCAAGGTGGTCACAGAGTTAGTGGAACATACTCTTAAGGATAATCGTTCGACGCCATTCTCTTTGGCGCGATGAACAGCCGTAAAAAGCTTGCCCCCGGTTTCGTTAAACGAGCTCGTCTCATTCTGTCGCCCATTCCGACGCCCCGTCCCGCCCCGATCGCCGCTCCGCGGAGATTATCAACGAGGGAAAACGTTCGTCGAATTTGTCTTCGACTGCGACGCTCGATCCTCCCCCCTCCCCCGCTGGCGGGAAGTCGAGGACTCGACGAAGAACGGACATTTGTCGCGAGAAGTTTTCCTGTTTCTGACTGTCTCCTTGTCTAACGGGTCGACGGGAATTTTTTTATCCGGCTTTTATCGCGGTTTCTCAATTAAGGCGAACCATGTGACATAACCTCTTACGTCAATAAATTGATAGCTCGAGCTATATCTACTATTCTTTAACTTGAATATTTTCTTTTCGCAAAATCTTAGATCTCTGAGAGCACAGATTTTATTTAAAAGCGTAATGCAAATAAATCACATATGTGCATATATAGGGTGTCCCAAAAAATGTCTCGCAATCTGGAAATAGGGGTTCCTGGGATCATTTGGAGAAACGTTTTTCCTAGCGAGAATGTTCTACGACGCTTCGTTTGCGAGTTATCCACGGAAAACACAGACCAATTAGAGAGTGAGGGCGGAGCGAGGATGGCCGGGAGTGTGGCGCCTCACGTTTTTCGTTGATAACTCGTGAACGGAGCCTCGTAGAACATTTTCGCTAAGGAAAAAGTTACTTCCAATGATCTGAGGAACCCATATTTCCGGATTGCGAGTCATTTTGGGAACTCCTTGTATTACTGCGGTTACGTATCTATTACTGCGGACGTTCCGATTACTGAGTAAATGATATTAATTAAAACTGCAATTGCTGTTACTCGCATATCATAAATTATCAATAATATATAGAACAATAAAAATAATAATAAGAAATAACATAATAAAAATAAACAAAAATGTTATTAAATAATAAAGATAATAAAATAATAAAAAATTATGAGATCCATTTTTAGAAGATTACACACTGTAAAATGTTAGTTTTTATTGCTGCTACGTCTTCAACGAATGTATACGAGTATAGTTGCAAGTTCTATGCCACGTCCGCTTCTTTTTCTGCGAACCGTTTCTGTTTTACCGTCGCTTCCTACTTAAAGGGACCGGCGACGATTTTTCCCGGAGAGTTTCAAACCGTCGCTGCGAAAGCGTTTTTATCGGTGAAGCGAGTTCTCGCTGCCTCGGATTTCATTTTCAGCTGCGAGATTACTTGTCGGAACTGTTTAAAAAGTTAATGAACCGTTCTTTCAAGAAGATGCTTCGGTCGAGTGTTCGTACGTCGAGCAACTTGTAGCAATTCTTTTCTGACGCGGAATCTCCGGAACCAACTGAAGCAGGGAACCTTGGAAACTTCGCTGTAAAGTGCTTCGACCAAGTTTGTTGGATTTTTGGACTTTTATTTTGAATCCCCGTTTGACAACACACTGTCGGAACTCTTCAGAAAATTAATGTGCTCCTTCTTGCAACATATACCCTAATTAAATGTATATGCAATGTTTAACATGTAGCCAATTTTTTGTTGCAAGATCTTAAACGCTGACTTAGTTAAAAAGACATTGTAAATTTCACTGTAATAAATTTCGACCAAATTACATTACATTACATTTACATTTACATTTACATTGCATTACATTACATTACATTACATTACATTACATTACATTACATTACATTACATTACATTAAATTTACATTTACATTTATATTGACATTACATTA